CTCTTAGGATCCCCATGTGTCATTTAGGAAGCCTGAACAAAATGTTTTCAGTTATGTTTATTGAAATTCTATAACCATGAAGATTTCAACAATTAGAAACTTTAGTGACAGTAGATGCTATCTAAATTGTCAGGACCTACACATTCCAGTGTAAGAATTTAGAAGGAAAGATGATTTGAATTCTGTGAGTTTTCACTTATTATCTTTAAATAGGAGTAATTAGGAGTTATTGCTTCTTTTCTGTTTTCAGGAACTGCAAGTGTAACATGCTTAATGTTTGTGATGCTAAGGTTACAACCTAAAATAAATTGCCAGAAACACTACTCTAAGCTGTGGAAACCATAAGAATTGTATTTGGTATTTACTTCACATAGCATATACTCTGTGATTGTTGACTATATAAATGGCTTTAATGCAGACATGATTATGGTCATGGCAGATTCATTTCATCCTATTGTGCTTTTTTCTTTGCTACCATATTTTGTAACAGGAGAAATTACAAGAGGGTTTCAGGGCTTTAGAGGAATGACTTTTATTTACTTGCATCTGTAGTTGATTCCTGAATATATTTGAATCAGTCCTTTCTAGACATAGATAAAATTTTGACATCACATTAAAATTTATTATTATATTACATTAGTTTTTAAGTTAAAATGTCTTTCAATTGTCTTTACTCATCTAAATAAAAATTATTCCTGTGTTGGAGAATATGTATATAAAATAAAACTTTTAAATAGCAACTTAAATTTTATTCCTGAACTTTATTCTTTCAGAGTTATCTATGAGTAATTGTACCTTGTCTTTTAGTGATGTACTATAGATAGATATACAGAATTTCTAGCTATGTGCCCTGTGAGATGGTTCAGTGGGTAAAGGTGGTTGCCAGAAAGCCTGACAAATTGATCTTGATCCCTGGTAGAAAACAACCAACTTCCAAAAGTTATCCTCTGAATTCCACATGCTTGCCGTGGTGTGCATGGGTGTCGGGGGGGGGGGATGTCTCTCTGTGTGTATGCATGTACTCATATACTCACAAATAAATGTGGTAAAACGAATTTCTAGTTCAACAAAGATCTGTTAAGTACTGGGACACTAAATATTATATTTATATTTCCAAATGAAATTTGCCCTTTAGAATTCTCACTATCATTTGAATCAATGTATATTTTATACAAATTTCATCGCAAAGTGACAGAGATGCAAGCAAGATATATACTCAATTGTTCTAATATCCAAACCAAATAGTAAAATAAAAGCATAATCTGTTCTCTAAACTGTTAAAATTGAAAAAAAAATTATATTGGTACCTAGCATTTCCCACAATAAAACTTACTTTTTTCAATGTAACTGATAATAAAACTGAGTTATTTAAATTATGTGTGTATTCAATCATGTATTTCACATTTATGCCATTTACTGATTTCTTAATTTATTGTGGTTTTGTATTTTATAAGCTTTTTCATTCGTATTCATGTATAGAAATGAAAAACAGAAGTTGCTGTTGGTAAAGCCTTTTGCTTAACCTAGTGAGCTTGGGGTTTTTTGTTTTCGTTTAACAAGGTCAGATGGATTAGAATCCTGTTTTAGTAAATGTAAAGATGTTTCCATTTGCTTGTTCCAGTATATTCTGAAGAATACTGAGCAGAACAACAGTTACCTGTATAAAAGCAAAAATATTTCAAGTAACTTAATCATGCCTGGGTGTGCTCTGTATTTAATGTAAGACTTTCCCATCTCTTACCTTTCTGAGTGGTTTGTGTTTAAATCACTTGATACATTTACATTTAAAAATATAATAGGTAAAACTTTATGTATTAGTCTAATATAGCAGATAAGTTCAGAGATAATGAATGAATGTTATATCTTATTGGTTAATCAAATGAGGCTATTTTGTTACCTCTCTAAAGTACGTTGAAATCATATCATGCCAAACATATTTTCCCAGATCTTCCTTTCCCCCTTGGAATTTTTATTTTAAGATAGACAAGCTGACTAATAACAACATATCTGGATGGTACTCCATACTCTAAGATTACAAACTATTAGTTATATTAATTCATATTTGACATTAATATAAACTATCCAGTAGAAAAATAACCTGAAATCATTTATATTTAAATTGTTCTTCATCATAACTAGCCTTTTTTGGCTGGAGAGATGGCTCAGCAGTTAAAGGCTAGTTAAAAACTAGCCTTTTCCACTGCTGTTCAGTCATTAATCCTTTGTCACAATCTAGGGTAGATTATGACAATCCAAAAAAGTAGCCTTAGTACTCATTGTCATTGTATATTCCCTTAGATTTATTTGAGAGAGTGCTGAATCCAAGCCACTGGACCACCAGTGAGCATCAGCATCTTATTTTATTTGACACATATTTTAAGAAGTTCTTATTCTATGCTTTCAGAACAAAAGATGTGAAATCCTTTGGAATGAATATCGAAAAAAGAAAAATGTCCTTTATGAAGTGTTTACCAATCATCTTCTTGATATAGTAGGACTTCCCTTTTGTTGCTAAAATTGCCATAAGTCTTTGAAGGAGGACGTATTCCAAACAATATTTTAAATTGTAAAACACTCATAGATGTGATTTAATTTTATTATACTATATTTTAATTGTGTTATCTAATAAACATCTAACACAGACAAAAATACAAAGGGAAGTCAATTAGAAACAAGTTAATAACTAATAGTCAAAGTAAACACAATAATTAAGAATTTTGGATCATTCTGCAAAATCAGCAACCATGACTTTTTTAGCCTAATTCTCCCATGTGTTCAGCTGGCTATAATAATGCCTACTTCAGGAAGTTAGAATGATAATGAGAATGAATATGAAGTAGTTTGCATTGTACCAAATATTTGTAGATACTCTATATGTAATTTTTGCTAGCAATAATATTAGATAATAATTACAATGTATCTAAAATGCTTGGGTAGTGTTAAATATGATTGAGTTCTAAATTAATAATATTAATGTAAACCTGGTGTGATGGTTCACAACTGTATTACAAGTACAGTGGAGGCTGACACAGAAGAAAGGATTCATTTTAACTCACAGCTCCAAGTTCCAGTCCATCATTGTGGGGAAAGACACAGCAGGTAGAGCTTAATGGAGCTGGTAATACCGCATTCATAATCAGAAACAGCAATGAATGCATACATGTCATTGCTCGGCTAGTTTTTCCTATTTTCATACAGTCCAGGATCCCCTGCCTAGGTAATATTCCTACCCATAATGGGTAGGTCATCCCACTTCAATTAATGTAACTGAGATAATCCACACAAGCATACCTTTAGGCCAATATCCTAGGTGATTTTAGATTGTCAGGTTGACAATTAGCACTAACCATCACGTGTGAGTAGATGTTTATCAAGGCAAATACTTTCATTGTATCTAAAGCACTGAGACCTTAATATCAGAAGGAAGGAGAGGAATAAACTTGCTATGATTGTTACACAGATATGATTTCTATGATTGTTATATATCAGTATAATTGTTGTTAATTGTAAGATGGTCATGGAATTAAGAATAATGTGTTAATTCATCTCATGTGTAAGAACTGAGGACTTTATAGGTAAGAAAAACAATAGATAAGTATGTATGTGTTTATTGTCTTTGGATAGAAGTTACATTTGGCTGTTTTAAATATATATTATCATATTATAGGTTATAAACTTTATAAGGCAGTCTTCATTGCATCATTTAATTTTTTATCTGAAGAAAACAGTCTCAAGGATTATAACTTGCTCACAAAGACATTTTCAATATGGTAATTACATACATCTATCTTCATATCAGGCCCATATTTTTTTCTCTGGGAATTATGTTATGTGAGTAATATCTGTCTTTAAGAGCTGATAACCACAATTAAAGTGCAGTCTTGAAAAACAGATACAAAAATCATGAGTTCCATTACAGAAGCAAATTTAGCCTGACAGTTTCTGTAGCAAAGGGAAGCTAAACCCAGTGAGACAGAGAAGAATCATCACCTTCCTGGAAGACTAATGCAATCACCACAGAACAAGTAAAACCTAGTGGTGATGGAGTCTTACACCTTGCTTCCCACAAAACAGTAATTCCTCCAGAAAAGAAAAAAAAAACTGCTGACTTAATCTTATCCTTATTCAGATGAAATAAGGTATATTTGCAATGTTAAGATCTGAGTGGTAAGTGGGGTACAGGGAAAAGTTAGAGATAACTGGAATAGAAATGCTCCCTGCCTCAGAAGGGTTCAGGATAAGATAAGTTTCTGAACGGTCATCGAAGGGTGAAGAAACAGATTGAGCTTGTTGCAAATTTTGCCTGATGGAAGTAGGACGTTTTATACAAAGGTAAACTTGATCCAGAAAGTCATAAAAAATGTGGAAGAATTAACCAAACAAGTGATGCATCTTTCAAGACCCTTAATCATTTTTTAAACTTTTCTGATCATTAAATAAAAGAATCCAGATTTTAGTATTATTTAGAATTTAGATAAATACAATTTGAATTAAATTAAACCTTAATATCAAGAGGTTGTCAGTTTATCAAAATTGTTGGGTAATAGTTTAGGCGTGATTTATCAAATAATATAAATAATACATAGCTATAACTTGGATTAACACCCAGAAATACAGCTCATGTATCCTTAACTTTAAAAATATACATACATTTTGTGTATTATGTGTACCTGGAAACCTTTTATATAAGAATTTTTAAAAATTCAAATGCCAGTTGATATTCTTCCACTTTATGTTTTCCTCCTAAAAAGTTATAATAGGGGCTGCAGAGATGGCTCAGAGAATTAGGGTGAGTTTAGTTTCTAGTACCTACGCTGAGTAGCTCATAACGGCCTGTAATCCAGCTCTAGAGACATCTGATGCCTCTGAGGGATCGGCACTAATGTTCACACAGACATGTAATGAAAAAAATAAAATGAAACGTTACAAATTATAATAAATGGTGATTTGTGTGTTACTTACAACATGTGTTTACCATAACTTTTCTTTTTCACTTCCAGTGTAAAACTCTTTCTGGAGTCTGTGACCACATCATATCCCTGTCATCAGATCCTCTGGTTTCACAATCTGCTCACCTGGAAGTGATTCAGCTGGCAAATATTAAGCCAAGTGAAGGGCTGGTAAGGGATAGCATGTTTATCAAAGCCGTCATCCATCAACACACAGCAAATGATAGGGGCAAAGAGACAGCCTCCAAATGTAGAAGTCTAGGAATTTCCACAGTGACTCACCCTTCTTTTCATTTCCTGTAGATGTGAAGGTAGGAGGGTGTCATAAACCCACCTTTAAAAGACAAACAAAAAAAGGAGAGATGTTAAAGGGAATTCGTAAATTAGCCTATTTAATTGGGTAGTCGTTGGTTACATTCTTTCACCAATTAAAATTCCTTAGCTTAAGGACATTGAAGAGTTTGACAATAAGCACAGTGTTACCTGCCATTCATGTACCTGTGTTTGTTTTACTTTGATTTATTCTGGTTTTAATAGATCTTCCTTCACCTGGGTAAGTAGTTAAAGCAAAGTCACATTTTTGTGTGTGGGTCCATGTATAGTGTATATGTGTGTCTGGGCAGGCATAAATATTTATGCACATGTTGGGCACAGGATTTAACATTTAGCATCCTCCTCAATTGTTCTGTCCCTTATTGAGACAAAAGTAACTTACTAAACCTGAAACTCAGTAGACTGATTAACTTGCTAATCTGACTAGCCATCAAGCACCCCAATACCTCCTGTTGCTCCCAGCACTGTGATTATAGGCAAGTTCCACTATGTCTGACATTCTGTGTGGGTGCTGGGGATCCTAACTCAGGTCTTTATACTGATTTATCAGGCACTTAATCCACTGAGCCATCTCCCCAGACATTATAATGTATGTCAATTGTGTCCCTTCCATTTTTCACATCTCTTGTTATAAGAATTGAATAAGCAACTGGATAGTGCTACCACTAGGCTGACATTCATGAAATGCATTGATAAATTTTATCATGTGAATAGTTTGTTCAGTTAAAAATGTCTTAATTATAAATTTAACTCAAGGGACAGCTTTTTAAATATAACTGTAGAAAGCAAGTATATAAAATTGATATGGATGAGAAAGACACAGATATACTAAACAGAAACTGGATAGAATGTATTTATCCACAATGTACTTATTAAATATTAGTTTCATCCTATGGTGTTCTAAATTTTCTCCCCATAGATAATGATATTATGGAAAATAGAAATCTTGGAAACAAGCATATTCATAATGATCTCTAAGTAATTTTATGTTTTTTCACACACATATGTATGTATATCTTTATAGTTATGTTTGTGATTATTTCAGAGAGGAAAGCCTTTATTGACCACTAGTGACATTTGCTTGCAGGCCATTCATGTATTCTATATAGTGACTTTTCTCCTGTTATTTGGTTGGTTGGTTGGTTGGTTGGTGGTTTTGCCAATTTGGGGTTTTTTCATTTTATAAGTGTTTCCTTGAAAAGGTGAAAATCAAGTATAGCATCCTGGTTATATGATATGATACTAAGTTGTAAGTACTATATCTAATATTAGCTTGTTTTAAAAGCTTATTTCTAATACTGTTAGGTTTATATGAAGAAACCTTTATGATTTAAAATTCTCATTACAGCATTTCACCCTTTATCTGAAGTTTACTTTCTGTAGTTTCAACTAACATGATCAACTGCATTCCTAAAATATGAAATGGAAATTCTAGAAACAAACAATTATTAAATTTGAAACTGCATACCATTTTGAATAGTGTGATTAAAATCTCATACCAACAAATCTGGGACATGAGTAATCCTTTTGTCCAGCTTGGCCAAAATATACATGATGCCTACTCATTAGATCTTTAATAGCTCTTGAAGTTATGGAATTGACAGTCATGATATTGCAAGAGCTTGAATTCAATCAGTTCTTATTTAACTTATAAATAACCCCAACATGTACAAATAGTGGTGCTAACAATTCAGATATGCTAAGAAGAAGCCATAAAATGATTCCTATAACTGATAAATTGAAAATATGTGATACTTTGAGAGAATTTACCATTGTTTCATTATTTAATCATAATTGTTCTATTTCGTTATTTTTCAAGACAGGGTTTCTCTTTGTAAGAGCCTTAACTGTCCTGAAATTCACCAGGCTGGCCTTGAACTCATAGAGATCCTAATTTCTCTGCCTCATGAGTGCTGGAGTTAAAAGTGTGTGCCACCACTGCCTAGCTATTAATCATTTTTAATCTCATTTAATTTATAAATGAAAATTCATCATTATTATGGTTGTGTAATAACCACAATACACACATATGAACATACTGTCTTTGATACTATTCATACTTCCAGATATATCTTAGGCTTTTTGAACATATCTCTATATGAATGGGTCACTTTCACCTGAATGGTTGTGCTCCTTTTGGTTGCCTTTACCAACGTAATTTTGTTTTTGAAGGTAAAACACCCTCAAATGTATAATACCTAGTATTTTCCTCTCTTCATCATTTCTTTCAGTTATTGCCAATGAAAGATGTTCTTAGCATAATGTGTACAGTAGAAAATTAGGGAACTAATACAATACTATATTAGTTTAGAATTTGTGAATCTGGATTAAAATTATTTACGTAAAACATGAGAGCAGTCTCATGGATGTGTGAGAAGTAATTTAACTTCTGTGGCCTTGATTTTGTCACAGAGAATATATAGAGGCAAGAGTAGATTAGATCTTCTTTAGATGTTCTCTGAGCTTTATGACTCTGTGACTTTAAAGAGTATTATTAGAATAAAACCACCTAATTATTTCTCTAAATTGCACTAAAATCATGGGGAACAATAGGCATGTGAAGTAAGGTAAAACTAATTGATGGACTTTATGAACAATTTATTTTCACTATGAATATTTAGCTCCTAGAGAGATCTCTTAAATATAAGGTAGGTCTGTATCTACTTTTTGAAATGGACATAAACTTAAAATGACAAGAACCAAAAATTTAAATAGTTTGTCAAACAACTGTCAGTGGAAAGGAAAAAAATAGAAGTTAGGGGTAGTTGTCAGACATACTTTCCATTTGCCTTTTATTTTCCTCACAATTCTACAGAGTAAGTATTAATTTTCTCATTTTTGCAAGTAAGAAGAGAACCACAGATTTTTACTGATTGCTTTGCACTAAACAATAACCAATAGAGGCAGGGATTTATGAGGTGAATCTAAATAAAATGTATCTGGCAAATATTTTTTCATTATCTTATATCCAAATTTGGAATGGCTAACAGGAGGTATGAGCAGCTTAAGAGGATAATCCTAAATTTGAATTTGTATAAAGAATCTCATTTTAAAGGACAGCAGGTAATACTTCAACTGAATTGATATTTCACAGGGAGAGAAAGAAAAACCTAAAATGTTGAATATTAATAATGTTGGATATTAATTGAAAGAATTACAGGTGAGCCTCTTTCTTATTATTCAATATCAAGTTTGCAAGATTAGAGGCTTTACATGACTTATCCAAGACACTATTTTACAATGCACTCACTTTTAAGTAAACTTCATAGCTCACATTTAAAATGAATCGATTTATGAATTTGACTAACATTTAGCAAGTGCTTAACCATGGGAAATGTCTAAAAGGCAAATGCAGGGGGAGAGACTGCAAACAAATGTGCTTAGTTGTAATTAAGCCATGAGACTTGCCTTTAAAAAGCAGTGATTAGCAGAAAATTTTAAAATGTGTAAATGAGATCTATTAGAACATTTAAAAACTGAATGATAGATAAGAGGTCATGAGTTGAATAGAAGGTAGGGGCCTCAAAGCATCATTCTGGAAGTTTGGCTTCAGGCTTCTTTCTCTTGTGAAGTGCCTGAACTACCTCTAAATGTACCTTGTTTTTCCATCATGACTGTTACTGCTTAGCTGGTATTTGGAGATGAAGTGAAGCAAACATCATCTTAGCAAGCTGAACAGGGAAAAGGAAGCTGATCAAATAAATTCCAGAATTCATTGCTTTTCCCCAAAAGAAAAATTAAGAGAGATGGCTTTAATAAACTATAAGGCCAATATTCACCACATTTCCAGAAAAACAATGGTATTTGAATGCTATGTCCTCCTGCTTTCTCAGAGAGGAGCAATAATGAGGAATATTCTCTGTGAACTCTTTATTATCTTTTTTCTAATTAGTTCTAAGGAGAGATTAAAGGATAAATAAATCTATTTCATTATTAAAAAGAAGTTATAATAAATGATTTATTACCACCTTAGACTTACTCTTTAGGCATTCTGTGCCTCAGTTTTCTTACCTCTAAAACAATGTCAATAATAGTTATACCACATAGACCTTTGTAAAATAAATTTTAGATACTTGAAACAGGCCCAGGCACATTATATAGGTAGGCAGGTAGATAGATAGATAGATAGATAGATAGATAGACAGATAGACAGACAGATAATTGTGAATGATGATTTTTTTCTAGTACAAATGTTTTATTTCTTTTGCTGCCATTTCCCACTTTATTTACTCAAAATCTTTTGGTGGAAAAATTTGAAAGAAAATGTGATATTTACATCTTATAAATAGTATTTAAGATCTTTTATTCATTTGATAAAATTTTGCTAATAGGGTAGAAATGTCAGCAACATCCATTCTCTCCTAAGATTTATAATATAGTATTTGCTTTCCAATAAGTAATGGGATAAGTATTAACTAAAAAGTGTGTATGTCATACACTCTAGCCAGCATCAGGTTGGATATTACCATGTTATTATAGCCACAAATGACTAGCCACTTTGTCAGGTAATTTCTATGTATACTTTTGTTTGGGCTATTATTTATTATTCTATTAAACTGTGAACTTCCATTTAATAAACTAGAGTTCACTGGCAAACAGCCTTCTTTTTAAATTACATTCATTTCATTTCCTATTTAGAGCTCCAGGCTCAACAGTTTTTTTGAACTATTAGCCTTTTAATATATGATATTTTGAAATGACTTTTGAGAATAAAAGAACTACCTAGTCATTTCTTCATCCTTCCATGTAATTAACTATTCTGCTTCATTTTTCTTTTTTCTTTTCATTGGAATCACAGGTATATTTGGGTGTCTGGATAAAGTAAACATTAAAATATGAGAAAACAATATTATAGATTTATTTCTTTGCATAAATATTTAATTGAAACTTTTTTACAAATGTATTGTTGGTTATTGTTAAATCTCTTGTATATCAGATATATAAATCTTGTATATCAGGAAAATACAAAATACTACACAATAAATACAGGATGCTACAATATAACAAAACAAAATTTATATAAAGTAAGTTTTTATTACTATTTCATCTCCAGCTAATTACAGATAAAATATCTCTGTTGATGCCTACTTTTAACAAGTATAATAAGCCAATAACATATGTACAAAAATTGAACTTCCTATTATAATCTTCATTTTGTCACAGGATGTACAGTATAGATTTTTAAAAGAATGAACTATGTTCATGACATTGAGATACCATGCTAATTTTTTTGTCTTTAAGGCACTTTAAATTACCAAGTAGTTACTTGATTGGATGTAAGCTTCTTTAGACAACCTTTAGAAACCTGAACATTCACATGGTAACTTCTTGCCAGTTTTAAGGCAGCATTGTTAACTCATGAATAAAATTACATCATATTATATTTAATAATATGTCTGTTGTGTCACTTTTTTCTGATCCTATCTTTTTCTTAGGGTATGTACATTAAATCCACATATGATGGCCTCCATGTAATTACTGGAACCACAGAAAATGTAAGTGTTAAAACATTTCCAATTTCAATATGTATATATTTCACATGATTGAGGTTAAATGTTGACTCTAAGAACATATCTAAAAATACATAGTAAATTGGTAGATTCTGGATACATTGGAATTTCACTCATTTTGTTTAGTCTAGGATAGTGACTTAGAGAAATTCAGATTTTCTTTTTTAAGCCAGAGAGTTGTCTTTGTTAAGTGCTTTCTGACTCATGACAAGTTACTGTGACAATTGCATAATCTACTTCCATCTGTCAATTAGTTTAGTTATTTTAAGAAACTTAACTGTTGTGAGAACCATCTAATCAGCCGGGCTTTCTGGACACTTGCAGCATAATTCAGCTCAGTGCAGAAGAGCTATAGCTGAATGAGTTTTTTGTTTATTTGTTTGTTTGGGGTTTTTTGTTTTGTTTTGTTTTTTTGTTTTTCAAGACAGGGTTTCTCTGTGTAGCTTTGGAGTCTATCCTGGCACTGGCTCTGGAGACCAGGCTGGCCTGGAACTCACAGAGATCTGCTTGCTTTTCCCTCCTGAGTGCTGGGATTAAAGGCGTGCACCACCAACGCCCAGCTAGCTGAATGGTTTTAACAGTGAGATTCCTCCACTAGCAGCATCAGCCTACTTTGAGAGCTTGTTAAAATTTTAAATTCTAAGATTCTAGCACAGATCCAGAATCCTAGGAACATCCTTCCTTTATGAAAGATTCTAACAGGTATGCTGACTATAAATTGGAAAATGATTATCAGAAGTATATATGTCACTAGGTTGTAAAAATTCAAATAAGCAAGTTAAGGATAATGCCGTACAGAACTAGGCCTTAAAAGAGAAATATACATACATTAAGTCAGTCGTTAACATGATTAGAATAATGGAAATTGAGTAACAGAAAATCATTAATTATCCCAGATTTCTCTTCTTGTTTTTCCTAAGCAGGTGATAAACTTTGATTTTGTTGTTATTTTCCTTTAGAGATTCAGACAAATTGCATATGTATGCTGTGTTCCTTCGAAGAATACTCTGGTGGAATTAAGTTCATTTCAGTTATTATTGATCTCAGTGTTTTACCAGTACTTTCTTCTTTGAAATCACCATTTTCTGCAGTTAATTCCCCTATTAACTCTAATTACTTATTGATGTAACTTCTTGGTTTCTTGTTGAATATGAAACACTGTGTTAGTGAATGTTGTAGCACCTTCATCTTTGATATTAATAATGGACATCATGAAAATCAATAAAATGCATGATGTGATAGAGTTCCTTGTTTGAAATTCAGTAAGCATTATGCACTACACTGTTGCCACTATTCTCTAATTTACTTGTGCATTCATTAGATCACTCATATACTCACTAGTCATTTAAGAAGCCCATTTACCTGACATTTGTGAATATTGGGCTTCATATACTTTACTGACTCTGTGAAACTTGGTAAATAGTTATATGATGAAAGGAACATTTGAATCTGGGTGTACTTCACATATCAATCACATTCATAGTTCATCCTTTGATCCTTTTTCTCCTGATAATATTTTAATATTTTGGAATCCTACTTAATTTGTAATTAGAAGTTCTGTGTTGAGTCTTGGTAAATTCTTTTTTCTTTACTGTGCCCTAGTTCTTTGTTTTTTATGTGTGAAGTGAGGAATTAGGGGAAATGATCCCTGAGATCCTATTCCACATTGAAAGTCTATAATTTATATGACTTACTGTGATTTTTTCCTTTCTATAGAAAACTAGGTTTTTGCTGGTTTTTATTTGAGCTTTATGTACATGCACTTTTTTTAACATCTTGCCCAGAGGCTTGATTTTTCTCCCATTCCTCTTTAAAAAAGAAAAAAATGATCAGTTTTCAGTTTTGAGCTAAATGGCCCAAGTGTCTGGCACTATTGCAGTAGTAATTTCTAATCCTTTCAGAATTGGTACATGGTGCTGGGCTGACATGGCAAAATTGAAACCTACTAAAGATACTTTGTGATACACTGATTTTCTTTTTTTAGAATAGAGTTCATATCTCAGATGAATCTACCTCCCTAACTGTATTCTTAGTTCATTCAATAATGTACTTTTTGGAATATTGTTTTGAATTTTAGCCTACGGTAATTTTTTTGTAGGCTAAATCTTTTGTTCCTGTGAGATCATATAATTTTTTTCATGTAGTAATTGTCTTTATTTTTAAAGAGGAAAGTACATATCAATTTGTACCAGAAATGAAGAAATTGATATTCCAACTCTAAGTAGCCATGCATATAAGAGTTGCTATTTCACCCTTTCACCCAGCATTTGATATTTTGTTTCTTGATGACAGTCATTATGACACTGAGAATGATTCTCAGTAGATATTTAATTTGCATTCCCCACATATATAAGGATGTTAAACATTTTTGTGTAATTATATGCTACTTATACTACTTTTTTAATTTTTTCTCTCTTTTTATTATTATTATTATTATTATTAATTCAAGTTAGGGAACAGGCTTGTTTCACATGTAATTCCCCTCTCCCTCTCCCTCCCCTCACCCCCATTCCTTCTTCCCCACCTCCAACCTACCCCCCACCCCATCCACCGACCACTCCCCAGGCAGGGTAGGGCCCCCAACTGGGGCTCCACCTAGTCCACCAAATCTTCCTGTGCTGGGCCTAGGTCCCTCCCCATGTGTTCAAAGACAGAGCTTACCCCCTCAAGTGGGATGGGCTCTCAAAGTCCCCCACACACACCAGGGCAAAACACCAGTCCACCTCCGGAGGCTCCCAGGAGTGTAGGGGCCTCCCCATTGGCATCCATGAGATCATATAATTTGAAGCCTTCCATGTTTTCAAGATAATTAAAATTTGGAAATGAATTTTTAAAAAGTAACTGACCTGAGAACATGCTGAGTTTGTGGAAGAGTGCTTGGAGTACAAACATGAGGACCTGAATTTGGATTCCAAGCACCCGGATAGCAGCCAATTACCAGAGAAGGCCTCTGTAACATTGGTGCTGGGGAAGCACATAGGTAGATACCTGGGGCTTGCTGGCCAGTCAGTGTAGTTAATCCATGAGCTCCAGTTCACTTAGAGAAAATGTCTCAAAAGGAAGGTGGTGGATTCACCAAAAGGATTCAGCAAGTAACGGTATTTGCTGCTAGGTCTGACAACCTGAGTCGATCTCTGGAACCAGTGCAGTAAATAAAGAGAACTGACTCCTTAAAGTTGTCCTCTGAATTCCATAGTCATGCTATGGCCTCTGTATTGCCCCCCTACACATACACATATTAAATAAATGAAAAAATAAAAAAATTAAAGGGTTATAAGATAGATCAGTTCGTAAAGGCACTTAATATAAAGCATGATGACCGGTCTTCAGTCCCTGGAAGCCACACAGTAGAAGGAAATAACTGACTCCCCAAATTTGTTCTCTAATTGCCATACATGCCACCAAGATACAAGCTTGCCCACATACAAATTCAATAAATAAATACATTTTAAGAAGAAAGAATAAATAAGGTAGTGAGAAAATAACTGTGGCCTAGATATACACACCTACATGGACACAAACACACACACACACACACACACACACACACACACACACACACACACACACCCACACACAATCTATTAACCCAAAATCACTTTTAAAGTACATCCCATTCCTGAGTCTCAATGATAACACTTTATTTCCTGGGTTCTGTCACAACACTCTTTTTCTTTATTTTTTTCTCAATAGATACTATTGAGTAATCTCAGAGCACAAGCAAATCTATTACATAATAGACTAATGTGTTTTATAAAAATCCATCTGTATAGTCAGTGTACAAGAGAATATTGCCATATAAAGATGCCTAAAATGCATATAAACGTTAATCACTAGTAACTAGAAAAATAAGGCTACAAAATCTATTACAAGACCTGGAGAATTAAAAACAATATGTCACAAATCTCATTTTAGTTTCCTTTATATATCGTGAAACTTACAAATTACCAGGGTGGCTTTATTTGTTTTGTTTTTAATTTCATATTAAGTAAGTGAAGTGCTGAAATTGTTATGTGCTGTGGACATGTTGCCATTTTGTTTAATTGAGTGTGGTTTGTCAACCAATTGTATTACAGGATTTGCAACACAGAACAGCATGCTCTTGTAATTAGATACTTGGAGAGAATGTTATATAATGCAGGCTTGACCTAATTGCTGCTTGTGGTTTAATTTTCTCTTCTGTATTATTCTTGATTGGTTTTATAAATAGTGAAATAAATTATCAACTTAATTATCCAGCTTCAAATTTTAATGCTAATTATATGTATATACCTGAAAATATTAATCTGTTTACATTAATATGGATTATTTACATTAAATGGGCCAGGCCTAACTAAAATTCATAGTATTGTGAAATATACGTACATATTTTTGCATTCTTTTTCACTGAAAATATTTTTATAAAGCATATTTCATACAGTATATCAGTTTCCCTTCCTAGTCTCCTCTCAGATCCTCCCTACACTTCCAACTCTACACCTTCTGTTTCTTTCTCTCAGTGTTTGTTGTTTCTTTTATTTTTGTTTAATTTGCTTGTTTGTGAAATATAGCTTCAACCAAGCTGCCTACTAGTGTTTAGCACAGTTTTCTAGATTAAGTTTGCCAAGATTAGTAGCAATTATTATTGTCTTTTAATGCTTTCAGAAAGATGTTACTATTTTCCAATGTAAATGTCTATGTATGACTTCATATTTGTTTCATCAGTAGCTATACACAGAGTGCAAACTATGTGTTAACTATCAGTAAGCACATTATAGTAATTACTTGAAAGTTATGATTAATTTAAAATCTAATTAAAGAGATGGATTTTTATAATGTTCCCCCCAAAAGCTGATAAACATCATTTCTTTTATGTTAAATTCAGTCACCTGCAGATCGATGCAAGAAAATCCACGCTGGTGATGAAGTGATTCAAGTTAATCATCAGACTGTGGTATGTATAATTACATTAAGAGTCAGTGGGAGAAACTAATTTAAAGATTTGCTAAAAACTTTCAAATGATACCAGTGAAATTAAAAGATAATTGAAGAACTTTTAAAAATAACTGAATAATCACTCTTCCAAATTGCTTGATGGAATGTAAGATGCGGATTTTTGAAAAATAAGGGAATATTGTGGCTGTAAATTTGACATTTCCTGGCATTACATAATTTCTGTATATTTGTTTATTAGCTACTAGGTAAATTTAATGGTTATATATACCTATATTCATTTGTCTGTTGTAACATTGACTTATTAATGTGTAGAGGATTTGGGCATAATTCAAATGCACATTTTTGTAAAAATTATAATCCTCAGTAGCTAAATTGGCTGTTGGCTTGCCAAGAGGAAATATAATTTTAGTTCTAAAAATTTTATGCTAAATTAAATAAGTTCACAAAGCTTTCTTGCCCTGTGCGGCTCACCAATCTGTTCACAGATCTATGAATGCCAGTGGCATTTAATGCCTTTGATAGATGTGGTAGTTTTTCAAAGATGTAGAAAATGAATAGTATTCATTTCTGTTTATTTTATATGCCTCAGATGGTTTTCTTTACCCCCCCCTTTGGCAAGCATAAAGTCTTTTGCCATAATTTGAAATTAAAATATTCTGAGATTATCAGAATAATAATCTTCATCTTTAAATGTTTGGGGATTTTAAAAATAAATATTCTACATGTAGTTTTATAACTTTAGGATGAGTATTCGTTTTCTGTTCACACTGTTGCACTCAATCTGCTTCTGTATGTCCTAATGAGAGAAGAAAATTTGGGAAGACATTTTCTTGGGGAAAGCTTAGAAAGTCTCACAGTGAAATTTAAAAATGTTTCTTCAGTGAGTTCATTATCTACCTGATATAAAAGTGGATAGGATTTTTTTAACAAGATGTATTGGTGTGTGGCTGGTACTGAACAACAAAGAACCCTATGACAGTCCTGACTTTATTTTCTCACTGTAAAAAGAATTGTTCAAAATGGTTGCCCTTTGGAAATTTCTGGACCCATAGTGTGAGAATTTGGGCAAGGGGATAAAGCAACTATTGCAGTACATAGGTAGCTTTTCCCTCAGTTCTATTCATACTGCTTCCTTCTCTGCAAGAGGCTTTAACACATAGACCTCTGTTGCATATTTTCCACATGAATTTGCACTTGATCAAATTAAAGTTGGTAGTTAGTCTCTAGTGAAAAGGGAAATTGTTTAAAGAGTACTCTTTATGGAACAGATCTGACATTCATTAAATGAATATCAAAGTCTAAAAGTTTACAGATGAACTAATAAAATTTATACGAATTGGTGACATTTAAATGCTATGAGAATGTGCATACACATATTCATCACAAGAATAGTTAAAAATTTTTGAAAACTGCATAGAAAAAGGATTGGGAAAACTTAATTCTAGTTTTTGTTGTAAAGTTTAATTGTGACTTTAAATGTCTAATGTTACCAGAGTAGTTCATCTTTTCTAGAAACATTAACTGTAACTGAAATTTCACTATGTGACTAAACATAAATAGCATGTCACATATTTTATATTTTGTTTATTCCTTTTAATAAATCCTGCATAAAACTCTTGTTTTTGGAAATAAGACTCATACAAGTACTTAATTCATCAACATCTTGTAACTTTCTGACTCCATGCTCCTATTTCAATTTTATTGTACACTTCCGCAGTACCACTTATAAAACTATCAAAGGAGTAAGAATCCCAGTAAGTTAATAGTTGTTTCAGTAAATCTCAAGATTCACTGTGACATTAAGTGGGGGGAGCATATTAGGAAGTAAAAAGGACAGAAAGTGAGAATTTACATAACTGGAGTAGAGAATTCATTTAACTGAAATTGGAATTAGGTTTGAAGCTCATCTTTCCTGCCATTTCTCTCTGAGCTCATTTCCCTCAGATGGATTACATATGTAAACTGCCTACCACAAATGCTGGCACACATTAGGAACTCGATAACATTTGACCTTTCTACATTTCTTCTATCATTTTACCTAATACTGTAGTTGAACCACTTAGAATCTTGTTTCTTGGTAGACTGCTATTAGAGCCAACAAATGGGTTTGGGATTAAAACAAACAGGAAGATATATTGAGTTTTGTGAATGTAGCTGTTTTTAATAAAGTGATTAGTCACCAGATTTTCTTCTTTGTGCTCAAGTTAGAGGCATATTTGTGCATGGATTTTTCTTCATTTAATGTAAACTAGCCTTCCCTCTTTGTTTATTGTTGCCTTGTTATGGTCTGGATAGTGTGTTTACATTATTCAAAACACACAGAGAGAGTTTTCAAACTGCTAAAGCATGGGTAGGTAGATGAATTGTTTGAAACAGTTATTTGTGGTCTGCAATTATTACTTGTAGTCTGTCTAGTCATTAAGACAGAATAGTGGTTGGCTATGGTATTGCATTAAAAGTAGTATAATATACTTGAAATATAATTATTATAAATTTTTGAATCCATTAATTAATTCACCAGAGTGATGAAATATTATCAGAATTATCCTATACCATTCCTGATTCAACAGTTAGAAAAGGTGATGCTAAATCTTATTATTTTTGTTGTCATTATCTCAGTAGTTTTCTGTAATTTTAAAATTTTACTACTGTAGGTAGTATTGTACAATATAAAAGTATACTCATTTTCTTTATATTTCATTGAAAAACAATTTTAAATATCCCCACAAGGGTCAATGAAGGATGAATGAATGACAGGAAGTTTTGAATGCAGTTATTTTGAATGGCTGGTATGTTTCATATACTCAATAGTAATTGACTTTCTTACCTCTCTTACCTCTTCATGT